CTATCTATCTATCTATCTATCTATCTATCTATCTATCTATCTATCTACCTACCTACCTATCTATCTCTGCAACCACCCTGAATGGCTTTTAGGCCAGAATTGCTTCTAAATAAAGAGGTTTGTGGCCTCAGCTGGCTGGAAAGCTGAATCTGAAGGATTCTAAGCAGGAATAATGGAGGAGCTTAACTCCAAATATGTGTTGCCAATTTCTTCTCGCCTGCTCCCCGTCCTTCCTCCGATCTTTGGGGTTTGGATCTACAAACTGAAGGCCGGGACACCTCACTCCCAAGCCCCCCCCCCCCTCTCCCCCACCCCGGTTCAAATCCTCCTAAGCTTAAAGCAGGGATCAACTCTTCCATCGGGTAAGGGGCGCCCCCTAACGGGCATCGTGCACCACATCTTTCCATTCCAGGTAAACTCAAAGGAAGTTTCAAGTCAGAGGCGCCTTGGGTTCAAAAAAATAAAATAAAATCTAAGTAAGCTGGCTGGGGGAATTGTGGGAGTTGAAGCCCACCGGGATTGTGGGAGATTGAGGAAAGCTGTAGTAAGTTCTTCGCTCTGAAAAAGGCCGTGGGAATTAATAGCCAGAATACCAGAAGAGCCAGAACTAAAAAATGAAAGATCTTATTAAAAAAAAAAAAACATCTTTTATTTAAAAGCTCGGCCTGTGGCAGCCAACCCAAGGCCTCGTGCTGCAGTCTCATTGTGACTTGATCTGGCCTTAGAGAAAACCCTTTGTCTGCCCTAAATTCCAGCTAGACTCAGATTGGCGTTTCCTCCCCTCAACCTTCACAGCTGTCAAAATGTTTGGTTTCACTTAAAATTCAACGTAAACCTGCTAAGTTAAGACTTGTGGGTTCCTTGTTGCCGTCTGAGCTTGGTGGTTTTCTTTGCAGACGTCTCGTGACCGAGCTGGGTAACATCATCAGTGCTTCTTAGGGACTGCATTGAAATTTTTTTTTGGGGGGGGGGGGGGGGGGGGGAGGCAAGAGAATTTATCCTGGAACCAGTTTATCCTGGTTTTCTTTCTGAGGACGAGGATCCCCTAAGAAGGCTGAAGGGAGGCCTCAAAAGGTAGCTTGGCCGCTGGAAACTCTTGCCAAGCGCCCCGTGACCTTACTGTGATTTTTTTCATATCCAGCTGTCGGAGCTGCATCATATGGTGGAGAACGGTCGGCTTGTACCATGCCTCCTGCGCTATGGGGTTGCCATCTAGGGTGAGTTCGGAAATGGACGCCGAGTCTGCCAGGCAGAGGATGTCTTCCACGCTGAACATACAAGGGGAAAAGAAGAGGGAATCAGGGTCGCTGAATGCGAACTCACAACCAGTTGCGGCTACTTGACTTCAAAGAATCCCACAGCAACAAACACCCAAGGTGCATTTTATAACAGGGAGTCGGTATTGCTTGATGTTTACCTGGGTTCTTCCTTTACCTATTTATCTACCCCGTTGAACCATGCGTGGTGCAACGTTTGAGATAAGGGGATCTCTGAACAAGGCAGTCTGCGAAAAGAACAGGGCTAAGGAGAACGGACATGATCGGGGGGCAGGAGGATACGGGGGGGCTTTAAGGAGCTTTTGGCAACTTTTTAAAATGTGTGGACTTCAAACTCCCCTGCTGGCTGGGGGAATTCTTGAGAGCTGAAATCCACACCCTGACAGCTGGAGAATTCTGGGTGTTGAAGTCCAGCCTAACTGGGGAGTTCTGGGAGTTTGAGTCCAACCTGTTAGGAATACTGGGAGTTGAAGCCTGCACCTGCTAGCTGGGGAATTGCAGAATTTGAAGTCTGCACCTGC